CATTTAACTCCAGAAAATCATAAATCAAAATATGGATATTACCCGTCCACAGATTCATGGTGACATAACTGCTCTTTTAAACAGAATCGAAAATGGAATCGGAATCGTGAAAATCTTATCAATACCCATCCCTATGCTTCACTGCAGAACTGAAAAATAACTCACATTTTGTATGACTATTATTTCATCCTAATGTTTCTTCTTGGTGCATCATTGCCAAAAACTGTTGTTGTTTCAAGCATTATCTTGTATATCTATTCAGCACCACTTCAGAGCCTTCCCAATGGAGAACTTTATAACTTTATTACCTATACCAGTACAGTCCCACTAACCAATGTACTTCCCTGCAGGAGAGACAGCTCTTTTCTGTTGTTGCCAAAGCGACTGTGACACTCCAGTTTTACCTGGTAAAGACTTTGGTCTCCTAGATAGAGATTCTCTCCAGCGCTGGGAGCTGAGTTGGCTGGCTGCAGGCTGTGCAATGGGAGTGATTACACAGGACAGACTGAACAAAGCTCCGACCTAGAAACAGAAATACAGCAGATTGGCATACACACAGTCCCCAACCAACGTCATTTATGATCGATATATATGATTAATCATGAACATTCTGAATTTGTGATCTTGGAAGAGCTTTAATGTAATGAACAGCCTTCTTTGGTTAGGCGGATCTTTCTGTAGCAGACTTTTGTACATGTAAGAGCACAGCTAAGTTACTCGTACCTTTCCACACAGTGATCGCAGCTGGTTCAACAAAAGTTTAGCTTTCACAGACATCCCAGACAGGCATCTGTTTGTCATTTGTGAAGGAACAGCACAATATTGAGGCACAAAAGTTATAAAACCACCTTTCAAAGACAGAAAAAGTCTTAAAACAATGAAATAAAAAAAAAAATTGTTGATATTTTGTTATCAACAATTTTAAAAATGTACATTAATAGCCATGACTGTTTTGGTTTCTGACAGCCAAGCTGTTTGTGTGTGACACATACTAAAATCTTACCTAATCCTGCAGCTGTTTCATTTGAGCAGGTGATGGAAGCAAAAGTTATGATATTCTTTTTTTATTTTTAAGCATTCATACAAACACACAGATACAGACACTTTAAAATAAGGATACAGTTCAAACTGGGCGCTGGAGATCAGGAAGCTTGGCAGGTCTGACAGATTAACCAGCTGAACCAAATCTAAAACTGGCGCATAGTAATGAAAGACCTGCAAATGAATGAGGGAAAAGAAACAGAAAAGACCATATTTTTCACAGAGTACAGCCTTCAACTCCATTTAAATCAGCGATGTCAAACTCATTTTACACTGTGGGCCACATACAGCCCACTCTGATGTGAAGTGGGCGAGACCAGTGAAATTACACGATAAACATATAGAAAAGCGACTGGTAGATCATTGCGGACACAGAAATGTCTGTCATGTAATTATAAATTTAAAGTATAAAGTTTTCTTTAATTCACAAAAAATGTCCTTGTACTTTGGTGTAATATGACTGGAAATGGGGTGGAGGTCTTTATCAATGGGAAAAGCACCAAAATCTATGAAAATACAGTTAAAAGATCAAAATCTGTCAACTCCTTTAAATTTTCCAACGCTGTCCAGTCGTTGCCAGGCCAATTACGGCACCCGGGCCTTATGTTTGACACCTCTGGTTTAACCCATCATATATCCCTCATATAAAAAAAATAATCCTTAAACAAAATTCCCCAAGATTATCATAAACATTAAAAACAACACTAACAGCTGACTACTGCCGTTGTTCTATCAATGCCATATTTTGCTAGAAGTGAGGAGGGGCCTCGATACACCTTTAGTTTTTGTCATGATTTAATGTGCAAAGACTGACATTGAACACAATTCTGACGTGACATCTCTTGTTTATAAACCCTGATTGAATTTCACTGGAATTGGCAGTCTCATAATTTATTGAATGTCAAACTTTTTTAAGTCTAATCTACATGAAGATTTAAATGATCTTGGGTCAAAATTAGAGCTTAAGAAAGCTGGAAACATTTATAAATCCCTTGTTCAGTTCAGTGAAGCCTCTGACTAACGCAGTGACCTGAAGAGAGATTATTAAGACCTCCAATATTCAACTGTCCTCATTATGTTCACTTGAAAGCACACTTTGTAAGAGTTTAAGACTGCACGCTTCAGCAGTCATAATATGACATTGAACATCATTCGTATAAATCTGATTTTGTCTGACTGAGCTCTATTGTTCATTAGACAGCTCTGCTCTGAGCTATAACAGGTTTTCTGTGAAGGCACAGACTCCTTCACTGCCTAACAATGACTAATCGTATATTTAGCAACAATTTAGACAAAACATAGAGATAAAATCGCTGTGACTGAACCCACAACTTTATCAGACATATGGGAAACTGATTCATGCAAATTCTCAGCTAGGTGCTGCTAAATGTAATGATGTAGCTTTTTCCGCTCTTCAGGGAAAACAAGCAGTGCTGTTGAGAAAGGAAGACGCTATCCAACCCACAACTTCTCAACAGCTTCGGAGAAAAACGCCTCATCGGAAGCTTGAGAATATTCAGTCCTTTAAACAAAGACTAGATATGGGCATACCTAGTAGAACCCCCGTGTGTTTGACTTTGTGGTTGGGTGACTGACTTCTAACATTAGATTTTTTTTCCATAAAATATCACTCACCCACTCACTGTATTCACATCAGTAACCACTTTTTTGTATATTCTAACACCCGTGCATAAAGACTGTCAACAAGCAGTTCAAAAGTGGTGGGAGGAGGAAGTATAAGGTTGTTTCCTGACATACGCTGACATGGCATAAACACCTCTTGGATATAAATAAATCTCTCACATGTTCCTGCTGGTTCAATAAGTTCAACAACAAACAAATATATATCAAATCAGTAAAATAAGATGAAGAGGTAACAAAAAGCAAAATGTCTACTGTAAAACTTTAGTACATTAGCCCTCAACAAGTGTTCCTGCTTGTTTGTTACTGGCAAAAACTCAAAGGAGGTCTCCACCACTTACCAACCAACTGCCACTGCAGGATAAGCTGTGTGGGAGCGAACAAAGTCTAAAGGTCTGAATGTTTGAATGCTTTAAAACCCCAAAGACAATGCAATGTGAAGCCCTTTCCCTGTCTTGACAAACAGGGTTGATGCTCTCTTTAAAACGTCACTTAAAGAGATTAAAAGTTGTTATTTTAATATGCTGTAGGGCAGACGGAAATGCCTGAGAAAATTCACTAATAGCATTTTTCCTGATATACAGTACAGCTCTCTGGATGATACACTTACAGAATAGAAATGGTTTTGGTGCATTTACTTCCATGTTGTTTGAAATGAGTGAAATAGATTTGCAATTACTTAGATTATTGGTGCTCTCTACCCAGATGCATCCAGAATATACAGCAGGCAAAAAGTCTACCTTTTAGTCTATGATAACGGTAATATTACATTTTGTTCAACAATATTTTTTAAAGTTAATGATAATTGCAAAAATGTTCCACTAAGAGGACTCCCTTTCCATTCAACGACACTTTAAGCGTGTCTTTTTTGACTGTTCATTCAAATGTGTTTTTAATGTTATAGTTTCAGTTACATGAGGGCTGGTATCAAGAAAATGAAAAGTCAATTCTGTGGCCTCTCCCTTCACTGAGTGCTAGTAATTATAATGTCACTTACTCCTGACAGTGAGGAGGTCTAACTAATAGTTTCTGTCTGAACCTAGTTTAGTGTGTGTTTGTCTGAGTACAAGTCGCTGCACAGTCATTTATCCCAGCAGTGTGGAGATGTGATAGTTTTGCTGTCCTCAGAGCTGTTTTTTTTAATTGTGTGCCAAAACAATCACTGCCATCTGCTTCTCTGTATAAAGATCTGATGAAACCCACACACATTCACTCTCATTCTCCACAGACGCATAAATGAGCAGCATGCACAGACAAACTCTCAAACTCTGCTTAAACTGAACAATAAGCGAACACAACAACACACATAGTATCTGGTGCCAAACACAAACTCACATAGCAGACAGTGGTTACAGATATTATACATGTATAACACAGAACATGTATTGTAATATTATAATGTTAAGACTCATTAAAACAAGACTATTTTTCTTTAATGAGTAGATCAGAAAACTTTGAAACTGTCTTTACTGCTAATCCAATGAATGTTAAAGGTACTCCGATTGTGTAAGTATAGACATTATCAGCTAATCGATGAGTTTTCATTATTGCATGTATTAATCTACATAAGAAAACTCACAACAAAGCTTTACAATGTAATATAATACCATCATGTCTAGTACAGAATACACTGTCTGTAAATGTGGTTCTTTAAACTATAGACAACAAGTAGCAGAACACACACTTGGCCAAAGCCACAACCTCAGATTCTAAATGTTAGTGAAAGTTCATCACATTACAGTTCTGCTCTTAGAGATAAATAAAACTCTAAAAGGCACAACTGGTGTTGGTGGCCGATGCACTGGCACAAATCCCCTGTAAATACAAGTTGTATAACACATCATTCCCAGGTCTCAGTAGATGTTAATAGGGTATGAGCCTTAGTGACTTTATTCACCATATCAATTTAAAGGCAAATGGCTGAGTAAGAACCAGGAATAAGAAATAATAAAACCATCATAGATATAAACCACTGAGAATTACTGCCACTTTCTGTGATTGCCATTATTATAGTAAGAACTAGAGTTGGACATTCCTTTATGACCAAAGGGTTTTGGGACTAATATTCTCCTCAACTCGATAACATGTTAGCTTTTATCTTATATGCCATGAAAATGACACTGAAAGCTGAGTTCCTAGAGTAATTAACCAGATGAGCTATTAAATATTACATATACATCCAGAAAATCTTTAGACATGTTTTATGTTTTCATCCCACAAGGCCCGGCTGTTTGTAAGTGAAACGTCAGAAATGCTTTTATTTCTTCAGTATTCTCTTGTGATGAAGTAGATGACAGTTCTTGGCATACAGGTTCCAGTACAGATCAGTTTATGTGCAATACTGGACTCCAAAGTACTTTTTTGGTATAAGTAGGAAGCTTCAAACACACCTGTTCTTACCACGAAATCGGGTAGATTAATGTAACTATGATAAATTGTTGTTTTCTAAACTCGTCTGAGAGGTTTAGTAGATTCATCTGTGGTATCAATTTGTTAATCCAAGATAACTCTGTTTTCAAGTTATTGCATTCAAAAGATTTTCGGAAAACTTGTCGGCCAAGATTTTTTGTAGACATACAGTTAGGTCCATATATATTTGGACACTGACAAGTTTTTACCTCTTTATTGAAACCTATTCCATTTATGGACATGGACATAATGCGTAGACTCTCAGTGTTTATTTGAGGGTATCCACATTACAAATGGATGAAGGGATTAGTTCCTTAAGATGTGCCACCCTCTCTTTACAAGAGACCAAATGAAATTGGACAGTTGACTCAAAGGCTATTTCATGGGCAGATGTGGGCAATTCCTTCATTATGTCATTATCAATTAATCAGATAAAATGCCGGGGGTTGATTTGAGGTGTGGTGGAAGGCTTTGCTGTGAACAGACAACATGCAGTAGAAGGAGCAGGTGAAACAAGCCATCTGTAAACTGCACAAACAGAGTGAACAACACTTTCCAGGAGGTAGGCGTGCCCATATCCTAGTCTAGCATAAAGAGAAGACTGCATAAAAGTAAATATAGAGGTTTCATTGCAAGTTGCAAGCCACTCATAAGCCTCAAGAATAGAAACGCTAGATTGGACATTGCTAAAAGAAAAAACATCTAAAAATGCCGTCACAGTGGACAGACAAAACCAAGATCAACCTCTACCAGAAAATTATAAAATTACAACATTAGAAAAAGGTTTTTGATATCCAAATATTTATGGACCGAACTGTACCTATGGTATCAATTTGAACCTCCTATGCCGCTTCGTTCTCAAGTTATTGCATTTACAAGACTTTCACTTTTGACTACGACTTTGTCCTTGAGGTCGGGGTCACTGAGAATCAAACTCATCCGTGATATTTGGCTGATACACAGTATGGCACAGGCTGGCATGAATTTTATTAGCTTCACACAAATATGGTCATAACCAAGACTACCTACCTAAATTAAAAAGGTATACTACACTGGATTCCACATTAAATAAACATATGTATATATTTATTTGAAAAAAGTTACTCCTATCAACATCCCTTATAATCATCCCTTCTGCTGATATCCTACTCTCTGCCTGCATTTTCCTCTTTTCTTATTATTTTGCAGAGTTTCTGACAAGTCTGCAACCTTTGGCCGGTGAGTGTGCAGCCCCCCAGCTATTTAAAGCAGGATCACAGCGGGTCTTTCCAAGCAGACCAGCAATGTCTAAACCAAATGGCAATCCATTAGATAGTTCTGGAGATTTTTACCATCACAGTGTGCTGCGTGCTGCTAATGAGGCTAAAAAATGCCAAAAGATTCCCAGTTTTATTTTCTATCTATTATATACGACTGTATATGAAAAACAAGTCTAAGCTTTTTGTCATTTGTGATAACAGTGAGCTGGAAGCAGACGTTGTATATAGCCTGCAGTTTATACATGTGGCTTATTAATATTTACTGATAGCATATTATTAAAATTAAGAGTTCTGTAAACACTGCGTTAAATATATTGTCAGAGAACACAAACATGATATTTATGTGAATACCAGTTTAAAGTTTTGGCATGAACTCATATCTGTCATGTACAATCAACAGTTCTGACACACAGACATTAACTGAGGCTAGACTCAGAGTGGATGGAGACATCGAGATGAGCTGACAGCTCAGTAACAGCTTCTCAGTTCCGGAGAGTGAGTGCCGAGTGATATAACTCCATTAAAAATACTCTACAAATTATATATGAAAAATATCAGACTGCAAAGCAGGAAAAAGATTTCCCATGGAAGAAGCCTTCACCACTGGCCTGCCTCGATGAGATGATAAATCTTTATTTCTGTGTCATTTTCTGGTGGCAAGGTCATACGTACATAAAAAGGTTGGCAATAATTTGGCTTATAAAATACATTTGATTTATCTGACTGATGGATCATCTGTCACAGGTTGCACAGTGTGAATAAAGGTCAACCAGGACGTGACGCTTCTCATTTGGAAATAAGACAGTGGGGGGTTCGTTCTACTGGACAGCTTGAAAGTAAGACTGGCTCTACAGTAATACAAACTGGGCTATTATCTGCTCTGCCAAAACTTTACCCTGAAGTTTGCACAAACACACACAGAGTTTGTGTGTTTGACAAACCAAACAAAGTTTGGTTTGTCTTTTCTCAAGCTGCATTACAATTCTCAATATAAGATGTTCTCACTGACAAAGTTTGGATCAAGTGCACACCCTACAGCACTCTGGTGGAAGACTGCTGCTGTGAGCAGCTGCGAGCAAGCTGGGCACTAAATCTTTGTTGGAGGACACAACAAGGACTAATTTGACTTTCTGGAAAACAAAGTCAGAGAAAATAGTTAACTGATTACTGAGCTGGCTGTCAAAAACTTGAGCACCAAAGGACAGCCTTGTTTTGATTAACTGTGAACTGCTTCCAAAGTTTGGTTTGAGGTCATCTCAAGTTCAATTCAACAAAAGGTCCAATGAAACTTAGGAGTCAGAGCTCACCTCAGGCTGCAGTTTGTGGTCAGTGGTCATGTGTGGAGCTTCCAAAAGACCAGACTCTGATATCTGATGCAGAGAAAAACCATCAAAGCGGAGTTCTGACACACACTGAGGAGAAAAATAATACATGACACACTCAGTGTATATGCAGTTAGAAACATTTGTACAACCTACAACAGAGAAATGCAAACTGTTTGACATCAGTGCATTTTAACAAATGCTACAGCTTCAGTGTTTGTCTGAATAATATCTCAAAAATAACTCGGCATAGCTGTGCCCTTTGGAGTTACGTGTACACAAACACATATAGAGACATCATAACTGTATCAAATGGGAGTAAAATGGTGTTGGCTGCTCTCAGAGAAGGGTTTATTCTTTTGGGAATTTTCCTTTGTTTGGCTTCTCCAAACCTTGAAGCTTTTACTGAGTGTCTCTAGAACTCACTCGTTCAGAGGGCAGCAACTCAGAAAAGGTCACTTTAGTGAAGGAGACGCTGCGAGCCTGCCTTAGAGCACCATACTTGGAGCACATTGGTTGATAATCTAACATACGGTGTCTATACACTTTACTGTTAGGGTCACAGACTGTACACAAAAGATAGTCAAAGCTTCCCGGTCTTAAAAGTGAGGACAATGCAGGAGTGCCCCAAACCTGCACTCTTTCTAAGTCCTCTGGTTTCAATTTAAAAAATTAAAAAATAAAAATTTGAAAGTCTGGGTGTATAAAAGGTTATGGGACTTCCAGTCCATTACACAGTCCTAGAGTTGTTCTGTGATCGCCTCAGGAAAGTTATTCATTTAATTGTTTATTCCATGACTGTTTGGCCAGTGGCTCCTGGAGGGTGCTGTATGATTCTGGATGAAATCAGTTGGTGCCCCAAAAAAAATGTCCTTGAGATTGCAAATGTCCTTGGTTGCCCACAGGAAATAGAGAACAGTCACCTCTAAACTGAAAGCTGTGCCTTACCACTACCACCGACAAGCTCCGAAAGGCAGAGTTTTGAATGCAAATGATGAATGACCATGGCAATGGTAGCAATGAAAGCAAACACAAGGAGGTTTTCAGTGCAGAACCTAATACATCTTTACAACCGGTTTTCATCTAGCAACTGTCATCATCCTCCAGCAACCACTCGCACTCATAAACCAGTCAGGTCATTCATATTTTTTACATAGCAATCGGTGGCTGTCAGGGGGTCGCCAATGGGTCCCTTGGCCCATGTGACTGAAGCCTTGGTAATGTCTTTCTTTTATAAAGTGAACAAGATAATGTTTCCTTTACGAAAGATGACCCCCAGTAGAGTTAACAAGGCTGATAAAGTAGCTTCTTCAGGGCAAGCCAGCGTTGTGCTCCTCAGATTCTCAGATCTGCCTCTTACTTGTCACGTGCAGTTTGAAAATACCAAGATGGTGACAGCAAAATCGCTCAGCTCAACTTCACTGAACCATGGTCGATGGCCCAGTGTCCGTGTCCAGCTTTTACATACAGTCTATAGTAGAGGCTCAAGATGAGAGATGTCATTTTATAAAGGTTATATAAACCATTTTCAATTTTGTTTTTTCTGTTTTTAATATTTTCACTTAAAGATTAGAAGCAGAGTTTTCCCAACATTAAGGTCCAAACTGAAAAACATACAGTAATGAAAAAAAATAGAAACTAAAAAAAATACAGTTTAGTTCTTAAAAATATTTCCTATCTCAGAAATACCAGACTTGTGCCTGTCAACAACACTGCACCTTCATTTTATAATATTAAAAAAACAAAACAAAAAACCCCACACATACTAAAACACAAAGACACTACTTTGAGCCGTTTCAAGAAAGACAAGATCTATATTTTCAGCCGATCAGTGTTTAAAATCATAAAATAAGACCTGAAAGTCTCACCCAGATTTCCAAAATAAATAAAAAAACAAAACAAAAAAAACACCATCAGTACGAGACATGCAAGGAAACCTCACAGTGAAACAGATTGCTGATTCTCCCCAGAGGGCCATGAAAGAACAGCACAAAATTGGCAAATTCAGTCCAGAGAAAAGAAAACGACTGCACCTGCCAGAGTTTTCACTTAAAGACAAAAAAACAAGTGTGCCTGAAGTAATCTCCAGAGTAGGAACAGAAAAAAAAAAATGCTGTCACATCACCTCAGCCTGGTTACTTTGACGCCAAAACAGTTACTTTGTAGGAAAGCAGGAAATGCATGGAAACAAGCAAATATAAGGACGCCTAAACACCACATCCACATGACTGTAAAACCCTCGTTTCAGAATAATTAGCATCAATGCGATGCTACAATAACCTTCACTCTTTAAAATGCTATTCATGAGATTATTGGCCCAAACTGGAGGAACCTGTTCTATTTCACAAAAGCACTGCAGAGTTGTTCAAATTGATGTTGGAGTTCTTCCCCATCGAATCTCAGTCTGCTTTCTTTCTAATGGCCAGCTAGTCGCTTCTTTATACACTTTATATCACTCAATTTATAACCTCCATAAACACTTTGCTGATGTGTTTATGGTCTCAGCTGCTACTTTCAAGTCTTTCTGAAACAACATGATGTTCAGTTAAATGACAGGTGCAGTTAAAAAGTCAAAAGGATCATAAAGTAAGGTGTGCATTATGGTGGGCCTACCTCGTGAGTAGCAAGTGGCTACTGTATGAGCATGACAAGGAGAAGGGAAAACTGTCAAGAATATGACAGCCAAAAGAAACTTGACAAGCTGCACCATAAAGCTATAATTTATGTTTATTGATTCATTATTTCCAGCGATCTTCTTTAACACTTGGCTTCAATAAGCTTCATGCCCCAGTAAAATAAAATAAAAAATAAAAAAAACTTGATAGGAGGGGGTTTAATGGGTCAAAGTGGGCCAAGCTGGGCTGAACTGATAATGCCAGTAGGATGGTGCCTTTTCCCATGACCCTTTAATGACCTCCAGTAATTTTCCAGATTCATTCAGCATGACGTGAGGCAGAGATGTTTTGCATTTGTGCAGAGCAGGGATAGTGGATGTATTGGACAAAGGATGCTGGAGATGGAGCTGTCCAGCAGAAAGAAAAGACGAAGCCCTCAGAGGAGGTTCATGGATGTTGTGAAGGAGGACATGCAGAGGTTTGATGTGACAGAGGAAGATGTGTTCGCAATAAAAAGCCCAGGACAAGCAAGCTGGAAAGTTCAAAAGGACACGGCTTTTTCTCCGGCCCACAACAGTACTTGTCCAGAAATTGCAAACACAGACACACAAAGTCTCACATACACAGTGGTTAAAACAAAAGATGTTCATTCCCTCAACAGCCTGTACCTACCAAACAGCTTTTTTTCCCTTCATTGCTCCTTTGAAACCATCAATTACACCCACATTGCTAGGTTTGGAACAATTACATCCAAGCAAGTGTATACAGACACAAGACTTCACAGTCCTCTCTTTGGTAAGCAAAACAGCATCCACAGACACACTTTCCTAGAGGTCTCCGCTTTCCTGTAACTGACAAACAGCTGAGGTTTACAGCATCCACAGAATCTTTATTAAAATCCTCCGTCTCAATAGTAAGCTGGCCCTTTTGGCCCACCACAGTTATAAAGACCTGCTATGCAGCTGCTGCAGTAAAAATTACAATGTTTTTTGTTTTTTTTGTTTGGGGAGTTTTTAACCAAAAACTTGTATTACTGGGGAGTTTATGGAATATGTGATGTAAATTAAAGTTAAAATTTTTGCTCATATCCATTTCCGTCTCAAACTTTGACCACCAAGCGAGAATTGTGACCAATTTTTTTGGAGCTGTGTTTTGTTAAATAGCTTCAGCAGTTTCACTTTTCCAAAATCTGACTGTGGTGAGGCAGTGTCCTGCAATTTCAAGAAGTTGATAATAACAGCAATTTGATATTTATTCAGTGATTGGATAGATCTCCGACTCTGTTTCTTCAGTTCTTTTGTTTAAAATATTCAGCTCATTCACACAACTGTCCTGTGCACATCTGAGTACATCACTAGTCTGAAAATGTGCACCATCTCCAGAAGTTACCCCAGCAACCCTTACCTTCTTCTCTCTGACAAGCAGGCTTCCCCTCCACATTTCTTTGGAGTCAATACAGCTGTCCAAGTCAGCCAGCTTGACCAAAGCGGCGCTGATGGAGGACGCCATTTTCTGCCATCTGAATGAAGAAAACAAGAATCGCTTGATTAGCCCGAGTAACTTTTATTCTCTGTTAGACAGCGATATGCAAGCCCATGTTTTCTTATTGCCTACAACAGTTCTGCAAATGTTAATCGTACATTCACGTTATACCAATAAGCCCGTCACATTTAAGATGTCTAGTTCTTATCAGGTAGGTGGTGTTTTGATGCCTGATGTTGGGAGGTGAAAAAGGTCATTCTGGCATCTCCTGAGATTATCGATCTTCATGTTGCCAAAGTTAATTTGTTGTTTTTATCATTACGAGTGCTTCTGCAGAAATGTTCATCCATCTGAATCCATCCATTACTTCAAGTCAGCACCTTCTCTTATTTATCCATCTAACTCCCCCTAGTGGTGAGCTAGGAGGATTTCACTAATAATGGGTTTGTGTACATTCCCAGTCATCCAAGTCATGGTTGTCTAAAGAGCTTAAAAATGAAGGGAAAAAATGGACTTCTTTAAGTCACTGGAAACCCTCTCATGCATACTCATCGACTTCCATCACCCACTGAAACACAAACTTGGGTTGAACAGGACCCTACACCACACCCTACCAACGTTCCCTCTAAGGCACAGATGGAAAGAGAAGGAAGACACACGTAAATAAAGCTCTTAAAACATGTGGTTGTCCCAACTGGGCCTTCATCAAATTACCAAAGATACACAGGAAAGAAGATCAGACATCAACTAGGGAGAAAGGCGATGACTGATGGAACAACATTGTCATCAATTATGTACCAAGTTTATTAGAGGAAACAGGAGAATGTTCTCCAACCCCAGCATCTCAGTGCACTTCAGTCCCAGCCACACTTAGACAAAACCTGGTTCATCCCAAGGAAAAAACTCAGACACTGAGTGTCTGAGTGCACGCTGTGCTGTGCAGTGAGGAGCACTCAGACCTCTACATTAGAAAACCAAAACAGCCACTCCACAAACACATGGCACAACACAGGAGAGTCACCTCGACGGTACATCTGCAGCTAAAAGATGAATGTCACTCTTTGAATGATGCCAATGTTCACATACTGGACCGGGAAGACCAATGGTTTGGGAGGAGTGAAAGAGGCCATCAGCTGTCTGCCACCTACAATCCACTCACACCTCACTTTAGGTGACCTCAACAAGTCACATGATAAGATGGGCCATGTACTCACACTGATTTCACCTTTAACCCCAAGTAATGATAATGACCTACACCTTTTGTCACACCTTGGCTCGTGGAATGACACACATAATCAACAGCGGTCCCAACGACCTCCTTCTAAGGGGAAAGCCCATACTAGGGATTAAGGCTACGTCCACACTAATGTGTTTTTGTTTGAAAACGCATCGTTTTCTCTCCGTTTTGGCCTCCCGTCCACACTGAGACGGTGAACTTCTTCCCGAAGGAAAACGCTCTCAAAAACAAATACATTTGAAGATGGTGCTTTCGCGTCGCAGTGTGGACAGCGAAAACGGAGACTTTCGAAAACGATGACACATTTTAGTCAGTCATGTGACAAATTAAACTAAGATAGCAGAGGGCATTATACAGCAGTTGTTTTGTTTGCTCTCAATTTTGACAGCCCTATTAAAGATCAATATCAGTTTGTACATGCTCTCTTCAAATTCTTTAATTCTCACTCGCTTTTGCAACTTTGTACTTTTGTGTTACTCGCAGCAACAACTCCACCTCATTGTTAGTCCATTTAAAAAAACTCGGTGCTTTTCCTCAACATTTTGCCGACACGTTTCAACGAGCCGGAAAGTAAATAAACGGCAGACAGAAATTAGGCAGGCCGAATCATCTTGCGTTTCACGCATGCGCAGTACTGGAACGTAAGCGTTTTCAGCCGTTTCAATGTGGACCCACAACTCTGTGAAAACGACTGAAAAGGCTAGTGTGGACACGGAGCGTTTTCAGACAAAAACGCCGTTTTCAAATCTATCCGGTCTAGTGTGGCTGTAGCCTAAATCCCTGGGACTCTCCACCTTTTGTTTTTAGGACTGAAGAAGCCTCTTGGATGAGAGGTGAAACTTTTCTTTTTTTCAAGCTCTTAAGTTCACAAATAGCACTATTTGAAAAGTTTCCTACAGTAAAAACAAGGCTCCTTTCAAAGTTACAAAATAAAATCTAAGAATTAAAGGACATTACAAAAAAGCCCATTTTTCATAGGTTGCATTGCTGTTAAAGAGTTTCAGTGAAGGCCTATTTGGCATTCTTCAGTAAGAGGGAATGTGCAGGGCTGGGTATCGTCACTGATTTCTAGAATCGATTCGATTCCGATTCACAAGGTCCCGAAAGGATTCGATTCAATTCGATTTGTATCTGGGAAATTTTGCCTCAGACAGTCAGAAATATTATAATTCAGATCAGTACATTTACATATTTTTGTATCTATAAAAAGGAAGCTGACACTCGCAAGACTTTATCAAAGGTGTGAGCATCACAGAAGATGCCTTTGTGTGTAGGAGCTGAAGATAAAACACAGAAAAACATGAAGGTGATTTTCCTGGCCTGGGATTTTATAAAAATATTCTGCAGTAGATCAAAAACGAAAGAAAACCATTAATCAACATATGAACATTGCCTCTGAAGTTACAGCGGTTTGATTAGAGACACGGCTAAGCGTTTTGCATTTTGCATAATTTTAAAAAGTTTAAATTTGTTCAGAAGTCTATTGAACAGCAGAAATTAGGTTTTCTTTTCAGAAGTAAAAGGGAGGGAAAAAAACAAAACAAAAAAACAACAGCGGCCGACAGCGCTGTAAACAACGGTAGACTTGTGCGTAACAAGCAAGCGAATAATGCAGAAAACGTGTTGGAAGCAAAACAGCAAAAGTCAGAGGGAATCCATGACGATGTTTATGTGAAGCGTAGTTTGGATCTTCTTTTGCTGCTGGTTCGGTCAATATTGTTTGGAGAGAGATCAAACTAACAGCTTTAGAAAAGGGCGTAAACACAAAGCGCGGACCTGCCGAAACATCAGAATCAGCGAGCTGTTGGCTTTCAGCCCCGACCGGGTGAGAAAGACGACATCTCACTGATTCTGATCCGTCAGCGGCTCCGCGCTTTATGTTTACATTTATGTGCAGAATCCGTGTTCCTGCTCTCATTCATTGTTTTAGCTGTTTGGTGGTTGTTGAAATTTTGTGAGGTTTAATCGATAAATCGATAATCAAAACCCACCCCTAATAGAGTGTAATGCATGGGTATTTTTCATCTTCTCACCCAGGTGTGTGCTGTGTGATGACACTGATCTTTGCAGCATGCCAGGAGGACATGTGTTTGACGGCTCCCAGCAGAGGCAGGAGGTCTTTAACAGGAGGGGACTGCTCAGCAGAGCCCAGCACCAGAACATCCAGCAAGGCTTTACCTGATTGAAAAACATAGGAAACAAAAGGACACCGCGTTTCCTTCTTTTATTTATTTATTTTTTCTTTCCATCCATCCATCTCTCGGTAGGACGTATCAAGGCAAGTCGTGAGCTTTTAAAAAGTAGGCAGAATCGCTCGTTATCAAAACCAAATTTCAAGAATTGTAGTGACTCTGGCTCTTCAGGGTAACTAAAGTTAGAGGGTAACTGTTTCTGAACTCCTGCGGAGACTGTGTGCCAAAAAACCTTCTCTTAAAAAACAACAAACAAAAAAGAAAACACTTCACGAGGGAGATTTGCAAAGAAGTCAGAGCATTGGTGAACACAGATTTATGCAGTACAGCAGGCAACCTTTTCCACAAGGTTGCAGCAGGCAGATTTTCAGAATCTAACTGCTTAAAATTCGACAGCACTCTTTTAAGAAGAAGTTTTAATTCCTTGATTTGGCTAAGACACAATCGCCCCATGAGAAATTATTTTGTGCAGCAAACTTCTTGTTCTTTTTTCCCATCAGTAAAACAAGCCAATCTTTGTTTTTTTTTCTTAATGCAGAATGGAAGAAACTGAAGTGGCGAACTGCGCCCTAAAGGTAATCATCGAAGTCACCTGAGAAGTGCTGTGTGGAAGCATTGTGGATTAAAAATCTTCAAACTAGATTTTTTATTTTTTTAAGTAAAAGCCTTATAAGATCCAAGTTAACAGCTTCAAAACTGCAAGCAAATTATATAAAAATTATAAGGCGGAAGATATATAAGTATAGAAAGTAACCAATGTTAACTGGATAACAGTACCTGGAGGTGGAAGCTTGTCTGACAGCACATGCAGTCCCTCTGCAGCCTCCTCCATCAGCCTGTTAAAAGTTGAGAACAGATGAGCTGACATGTCACTGTCACGCAGATTCTTGAATGCACAGATGGAGCAAATCCCTGTTACGGACAATAACTGCAGACATTATCATTATTATCATCTCACTCTGTCAGTGTCAGCTCATCAGCCTTTTGGTCCAGTGCCTCCTGGTTCTTCAGAGAACCCAAACAAGCTTCCAAAGAAGTGGGTTTCTCCTCCTCACCGTCACATCTGTGAAGGCTCAACTCTTCCCATTTAGAGGTGCAAAACTGCCAAACAAGAGACAATTACTAAACTAAATACAGAATTCTTTATTCACAACTTAACAGTTTGAAAGGTAAAATTCTGCATTGTTTCCTTGTCAAATGTGTGTCAATGTGGTTAAGTATGAAGCATAAAGTGCTTTTGCAGTTTTAATAAAGGCATTCTGTACCAATTCCTAACTTGCCATTGCAAAGATGAATAAAACTGTTGTAAAGCTGATATTGTATTTAATAAGTAAGAAGTAAGAAAGGAAATGACACAATAGCTACGTTGGTGCAGACTTTGACAACTTGTGACAATTTAAAGCATCACACATAAAAAAAGCTGTATATACAGGCACCATATCTATGCTCTTGAATCTTCCAAGTGTCTCACCTGTGCACCTCCGTGACAAGCCTGAACAGCAAAGTACCACCTCCGAGCTGACGGGCTGCCACTGAGAGAACAAGCTGGGAAAACATGCAGTGAGAAAGATGTAAGGAAGGGAAATAACTTGGTCTGTCTTAACACTGATACAACACTAAAGTATATACAGCTGTAAAACACTAAGTACAACGCACGATTCAATAACTTGTAGAACCACTTTTAATAGCAATAACTTCATCTTTTCTCACATGGTTGTTGAGAAATTTTGTACCACTCTTATTTACAATGTTGCTTCAGTTCACTGATTTTTCATGCACAGCTCTCTTAAGTTTTTGCCACAGGATTTCTGCCAGGCTGAGGTCTGAACTTTGATTGGGCCACTGCAACATCTTGATTCTTTTCTTTTTCAACCATTCTGAGGAAGCAGATTTGATGCTGTGCCTGGGATCATTGTCCTGTTGCATTAGCCAATTTGAGCCAAACTTCAGCTGTCAGATAGATGGATTCACATTTGACTCTAGAATACTTTGCTATTCAGAAGCTCTGACAATGCAACAGTGTCTTACATAAACTGTTTGCTTTGCATATGTTTTATTTTGCAAACTACTACTTCTTTTGAGCTTTATCTTATTTTCGCCTCATGTATTCGTAAATAGGTTTAAACGGTGTTCCTTTATGACTGATTTGATGACCAATTTAGCATCTGGCCAAGAAATGACCACTGAAAATTGAACATTTACAGTGATGCTGATTAGTGATTAATGTGCAGTATCTAGAACCAATAGATAGATAACTTAGATAGTTGCTCTATCTGTTACTGTACCTGGAAACACAGAAACCTTCTCTGACTCCTGAGTGGAGATGTCCACGAGTCTGCCATATATCTGCTTTAGTGGCTCCAAACCTGCGATCAGTGAAAACTGAGCTGTCAGGATTCATTACAAGCGGATTTCTAATTTATTTAAGACTGAAAAGAACAACAAGTAGCAAATTTGTTAAAAGCTGCTAGCATAGTTCACTCTTCAAATTCTTTGACCGGATAACCATCGTGATTACAAACAAAATGTGAAACACAAACGTATACGAACAAAGGTTAACAAAGTCAGGACGATATTAAGAGCTCAGCCAGACGAAGTTTACAGTTACAAAGCTAACACGGGCTAAGTCTGCACACTTTTAAGGTACTGGCAGAGGAAGTATTACATGTTTCCAAGTTAAATGAAAACTTACATTTAAAACCATCCGGCGACTCGTCATCAGTTCGGCAAAAAGATATAACTAAAACATACCGGTCCATCTCCAGTAAATATTAGTAAATATAGGATTGCTGTTTGTTTATTGGGCTCTTTCGGTTAATAGAAAAACACTCGCGTCAAATTTCCCACCAGTTCATCTTCTTCTGCGCAAACTAACATGCACTGTTAGCACTCAAAAGGCTCTTCACCGCCATCTATTGGACTGAGACGGAACTACATCATTTGTATTAGAGCCGTTCTAGGTAAATTAATAATATTTAATGCGGTTCAGCGACAAATAAATGTGCGAATAAATCACACATGAATCAGTTTGCATGGTACTATTTTCATTTTAGAATGGTATCTGTGGTTTTGACTTCCACCTTCTTCTTACCTGGTGTTTACTGGGAAGTCTGCTTTGTGGTATTTCTAATACAGTATATTGCACCATGTTATGAGCCTGTCATTAAATTTGATGAAATGAAGCAAGCACATTCAAGGGAAGAGATTTTATTAAAATATACTTTGTTAGTACAAAATATACCACATTATCACAGGCGTATTGCACTTAATTTCATTACTGTCTGAAAAATATATGTAACTAAGTGTTGAAAATGTTGCTAAATCCATATTTTACTGTTTATTGGTACATTATGGTAAAATGGTAGCAAAACACTAGTTGATTTCTACAGTGTGTTCCTGCACGTAGACAATATAGTGGTGTGTGTCGTCTCCCTGAGTAAGGACTGTCAGTGCCTCCAGGCTGTGTCCCTCCTCTAACACCATCACCTGGTCACCATTTAGGGCCCCCTCTGTGTTTACCACCATCAGCTGGTTGCTGCAGTTACCGACTTCCTGCTCGTCGGCCACCTGCAACTTCAGACACAGCTCAACATAAACTTTTTGCCATTTTGTAAAATCTCACCTCCTTACACGGTGATGTTTTGTCGCTCACCTGCTGTACAACAGCTACAGTGCCTGGAGCCATGGCGACCATGGAGGTGACAGCATCCTGAGTCTCTGAACTGAGCTCAGTGATCTGCTGGATGTTAACTGAACAGAAAAGGCACTAAATGAATTCAGTGTTATATAGGACATAGGTAAACGCACATTATAAGCACATAAAACAGCTTCAGTTATCCTGAAGCTGTTGATGCTTCTTGAAGGTTTTACCGTTGTCCTGCAGGGTTGCTAATGCTGCCCCTGACAGGTGTTGTTCATCCTCCACAGACACATACTGCGCCTCTACTTCCTCTCCCACCTACGTATTCATACACAAGGAAGAGATTATAATAAGTTAGTTTCTAGTTACTACAAATAAATCCAATGGTAACATTCTACAGCTATGGGATACTAAGGTGCTAACATGGTGTGGATGACCTTCTTTACTTAGCCAAACAGGACAGCGGTAAATAAGTGATAAAATTTCATTCTATGTTTGGATGCATGCTCAATCATTCATGTATAGAAATCCTGTTCATCTGGATGTGGGAGAAATGTTTTCTCATTCATTTAAGTAACCTCTTCAGTGTCAGATCAAGTTACGTAGTAGATTTCCTGCTGAAGCATAAATTGGGTGAAAGTAGCAGCTCTTAGCCAGAGGCTGTTTGTTTTCCCCAATGTATAATTCACAGCAATCCTCCAGGTACTTCACTACCTGCACTACATTACTCTCTTTGTGCCGGGGGACCCAATCCTTGGGGTAGACCAGTTCTTTGGCGTAGTAGGTTTTGGGGTTTGAAAGCCACAGAGACGTGATTTTTAGAGAAAATTATCTGTTCCAATATTCCTGATACCAAAACAATAACCAAAGAGTCTTACTAATGGAGCAGTTAGTCTTCTCTTCTGGATCAAGCAGATGGCACAACACAGAAGAGCTACAGTAGCTCGCCGGGCCCCGTTTCTCTACAGTAAACTCTACATCCGGATAAACAGAATACCCTTTCTAGGCTACCAGTCCACACACTTCAGCGTTCACACCCAGCTAGCTTTATTTTATTATCATTGTATCTTGTGTATTTGTTTACCTCCCAAGGGCCTTCTACCACTTTCAGACTGTGTTTGCTCTTCAGGTGACGGTTCAGCTCCCACTTTGTGCCATAAACAAATTCACATTCGGGACACTTCATACCTCCTAAACATAAGCACACACAAAGAGCTATATTACACTTTGTTTGAAACCCTACATACTCTAAGTCAGACAACAATTACAGCTATGACAGAGGTCAGACAATGTAGTAACCAGAGCGTGCCAAGAGAAAACAAATGTCAACGCTGTATTCAAATGTTTTACAAATGTCTAGCTGCAGTGAAATTATATATTAATTAATAATAATCAAGGTTCCTGGACATAGTGGAGGGAGAGCAGAGTTAGGACCTTGCTGTTTCAGGGCGTCAGGGTTTGGCAATCCGGGTCCGGCATTCTCGTATCTCTGATCCGGGTGCTTCACATTGTAGTGCCGCTTCAGAGCGCCAGCAATGTTGCAGGAGTAGTGACAGTGAGCACAACGAAACGGCTACAGAGACAAACACATGTTAGTGCTGCTGTTTAATTCTAGTTTTCTCTTGTTGGGTAAAATGTTGCAGCATATCTAAAGCAAGTTTTTTTTAAATACAGAATGCTGATGGGTCATTTCATTTGAAATCAACCAACTTTTAGAACATTTTCTGCTCGACCGTTTGAGATTTGCATGAAAGTTTTGTGGTTCAAGGAGTTTGGTGTATGGATTACGGCTGCTACACTATTTTCAGCCATCTGTATTTCTTTATTCTACTCTTTTTTTATTAGTATATATTTTCTTCTTTGATATTTGATAAATGACGCTAAAATCTCACAGTAATCATTATAGGTGTTGAAACTTTGTATCATAAAAGGCCCGTGTTGATTTGAGCTGGAATCACGGACCCTGATGGTTTGTCGCTCTATTTATATTCTGCTAAAAGATAAATAATAATAAAACTGAGGATGGTAAGGTTAGATGTAATCTGACCTTAAATTTAGCGTGCTGCTCCATGTGTCTGAGTAAGGAAGGTTTAGAGACCGAGGTGAAGTCGCACTCTGAACATTGAAACCGCTTCCCTGGACAGACGCAAAGTAAACACTGTGACATTTATCATCACTGGTCATTAAGAGCATTTGTGACATACGCAAAGTTATCATTAATTCTAAATTATAATATTAAAGAAATACATAATGTCATTTTAACAAAGTGCATACCTTCATCTGTGTGGCTCAGTCTGTGGCTTTTCAGCGTGACTTTAGATTTGAACTTTTTCCCACACAGATCACAGAGGTGACGTCTCTCCGTATTATGTCGGTTCATGTGAGTCTTCAGGTTGCTTTTACTGCGACCTGCATAGTCACACACGTTGCAGACGAATGGCTTCAAACCTACCCACACAGACAACAACATACAAACACACACTTAACAAGCTGCCAGCAGAAAAGATTATTAAGCAAATAAATTAAATTATTAAGCAAAAAATAAATAGACATTTTGAACATGGAAATCTTTGTTTGCAAATGCAATCAAATTATATTTAAGCCATAAACGGCAAATCTCAGCAGGAAAATGTTTTTACTCCTGAACTTTTAAGAGATACGCGCCTAAAGTGGATATTTTATGGATACTTGGTGCCAATTGTATTTACGAGTGACTGTTGAAACGGTGCAGCCATCGGTGATCAGCCAAGTATTAGAATAGAAAGAAAGAAAAAGAAAATAAAGCCAGATAAACTTTTTTGAAAATTGTTGTTTTATAAACTGGCGAGGTGAAAAAACTTATCAAATCAAGCGAGTACAGCAATTTGCTTCCTCAAGACAAAATTATATTCTACAGCAGATATGAACAGGCTGTATATATTAAGCAGCTTCAGCCGAGCAGGGACATATTCTTCAGTCTTAAAGTAATTTTAGCAATCTCATTCACCTTAAAAAAAACATCTGCAGAACAAAAAGTCCTGCTGCAGAGACCAGTGCAAAAGAAAAATAGCCATTAAAGTGTTTCTTTTGCCAGCATCACACATGGACAATTTTGCTTGTTTTTGTTTTCATCATTTTAAGAGTAACTTGACTAATGGGCCAATTTCCTTCAACAACATCTGCGTGTGTATTTGCAGTCTGCTTCATTCTTCTGGACGACGGCCAGGAGGAAGAGGGACAGATGGAAACTCAGCTTTCAAAAATAATGATACAGTAAAACTCTGTGCAGAGGTGCTCGCCCACATGTGCTGAGGACTTGTGCTGTGTGCGTGTCGCCAGCTTTAAAGAGCAGAGCGTTATCAGACCTTGATGGGCCCAGATGTGCTGCTGAAAGTCACTGCTGTTCTTTAGGAAGTAGGAGTCACAGTAAGGGCACTTCTCTGCACGCTGCACCATCAGTCCTTTACTTTGTATAGGAAGAGTGTCTGTCCAAAACATCCATGCAAACAAAGAAACATGCAGTAAATGTACAAGATGGCAAATTTCTAATGGGCATCAAAATATTGTGAAGGTTAGCAACAGAAACTAGCTTTGCTATTTATTTATTTTAGCCTTGTGCGACAGCTTTGGCTGAAAGCAACTGCTACACTTTGATCATTTAAAGGTCCGGGGTGTAAAATCTAACCAGTAGATGTCAGCAGATTGCAGTCAATTGTTGCTGTTAAGCAGCATCAGGGAAAGTTTCTTGGAAGTGGATCTAACATTGTTGGACTCGGACACTCAGTGAAAAAGTTCTTGTTCAGTATAATCAAACTACTTATCAGAGGGAAAGTGTGATTTTTAAGAGACTCAAGCCTAACATTAGCTGGCATAACTTAGTTTATGACGCATAGCTTAGCTGTTGTTGTTTAGTTGGCTCGTTTAATCTGCTGATAACAATTAATATCTGGAATAAATAAGCATATTTAGGGATATTTTGTGTGTTAGAGCTCTGAATTGAGTTCGTAAAATGAGGCTTAACGTGCGGAAGGGGAGGATGAGGTTTTTATCCGGATCCCAGTTGAGTTGTTTTACTTTTTGATGAAGGGGACGGGTTCTCGGATGATTAAACAGAGGCATCATCCTGCATATCCTGAGTCTGATGGTGGAGGCACTACTTAAAATTTGCCACCATGGGACAGAAATGCCTACGAGCTCTTCTCCTCCATCTTTGCCGTACTACGTATGTGGACAGTCTGTGGACAGTCTCTAGCCAGACACATAAAACTCAAGTAGGTGGAACATCGCCCGTCCATCTCAGCCACTTCAAGATGGTGGGCCAACATGGCAGCTTCCACAAATCAGTGCCGCGTGTATTTTTAATAGATTAAAACTAAGTTTATGAAATCACATCAGTTTGCTGGAAGACCATTCTACACTGTGTATTTATGAAAGCAACATTATTTTTATATAAAATTACCTGACTGACTGTGCTCACAATACGTGCCCAATAAAAAGTTATAATAATAATATAATATATATAATTATATAATAATACAATTTGGATTTAGTGAGGCAGGAGCAAAAGGTAATACTGGCAGTTTTAAAAAGACAGATCTGAATCTGCTTTAAAATAAAAACAAACAAGAATGAGTTATATTGTTTTTTGTAGTGACACAGCAATGCTTGTGTGTTCTTTACCAGGGTGTGATGTTTTAATGTGGTGCTTTAGTCTGTGCTCTGGATAATTACGATGGCAGACAGGACACGTCTCACTCCTCCCCTGTAATTGAAGAGAAGACACAAGGAAAGGCTGAAGGAGCAATCATTTTTAGTTGTTTAAGCCTCAGTGTATAAATTCAACAGCACCACATATTAAGAACCTATCACTAGGAACTGGTCTGCTCAGGCTAGTTACCTGCTCTTTGTGTGTTCTCATATGTGCTTGAAGTTTGTATTTGTCAGGCGTGCTGTATTTGCAGTCAGGATTCGAACAAGTCAGCAGCAAGCCACTGTGCTTCTGGATCTGGTGTCGCTTTAAAGAGCTTTTGGTGATGGAAGAGTAGCTGCACTTTGAGCAGTAATGCAGGTGCTCCTTGGTGTGTGTGCGCACATGGCTGTTATAGTGGACTCTGTACCAGAACAGTTTACCTGTGCGGCACAAAACTGTGATTAGGAGCTGCACACAGTATTTAACAGTAAATTACAGTTAAGTGAATATTAAAAAAAGCAGGACAAAGCAAATCCAATCTACTCAAAGAGTTTTGTTTTTTTTATTTGTCTTACCGCAGTATTGACATTCTAGTTCTCCATAAATTTTCCTAAGCCGCTGGAAAGTCTCCATATTGAGCTGAGTCTTCTGAAGGGATGAAAACACCTGCTCGAATGCGCTGTGATGGGAACCCTCTGAAACCTACCAGCAGAAATGGACAAATGCAACCTGGGTATAAGACTGGATAAAAATGCTTGTCTTCTTACCATGAGTGATTTATCGGAGATGATTTATCGTGAGAACTAAACACACTATAAAATAGTTATTGCTCAGCACTCATGCAGAGGACGCTACTTCAAACTGAATCTCTGCATTGGCAAATTAAGCAGGACTATCTACATATTTAAAGTCATACAAACAGGAAAAGGATACGACCAGATTAAGGAATCTAATCCCAGTAAAACTACACTTGTTTTCACCATTTAAAAAAAAAAAAATACAAAATGTGTTTTTTTCTCTTGGTAATATTGGTTTGTGATCTTAAAGAATAATACAGCTAATGTGGAGGTGCTTCCTCGTTTGTGTAAATATAAAACATAAACGAGGTAACATCTAAAGAAGAAATATTTTCATTAGGAATTAAATCATATTATAATTTTGCATTTACCTCCTCTGATTGTGCAGCCTGGCTGTTGTCTGGACCTGCAGACAAATGTGTGCATGCGCTGGCATCAGACGGGGTTATAGTTCCTGATGATGATGATGAAGATGATGTGCGTGTGTTCTCAGCAGGTGCGTGTCCATTTTTTTGAGTCCCAGCCTCTAAGTGTGGACTTTGAATGTTCTCTTGTGATAACAAGGTGTGCGAGTCCTCTTTGAGTCTTTCAGCTGCAGAGCTGCATGAGTCTGGCGTGTTAATGTGTGACATCTTCTCTGCTGCTGCTTCTTCTTGTCTGTCTTTAAAGGTTGGCTGTGCTTCTCTCTCTTCTATTCCTACTTCCTTTCCCATCTCTCCATCTATCAGCGGCACTGCCTCTAAACTTTCAGCGGGATTTTTATTAGCCTGTTCTTCTTCATTCTCTTGCTCTCTCTCTTCTCTCAGCTGTTCTCTTTCCACATCTTCCCATTCCTTCCCCCCTGTGCCATGTTGTCCGTCCTCTTCTCGTATTCTGTCTTCTTCTCTCTCCTGTGGTATCCGGCACTCCTGTGTGTCCATGCTCGCCTCACTCCCCAGCATGTCTCCTCCAGGCTGAGCCAAATAGTAGCTGCTGTTGATGGAGTCAGTGAAGGTCTGCTCTTGATCTAGTCCTGGGTGACACTCTGTCAAGTGACTCTTCAGCCTCTGCGAGCTGACAAACTTCTCGTTACACACGGAGCACACGTACAGGAAGAGGTGCTTCCTGACATGAGCAGAGAGGGCAACCATCTTGGTCACGGCATGGTCACAGAGCAGGCAAGCGTAGGGACGCTTAGGCCCATGGACTAACATGTGGCGCTCTCGCTCTAGGTGGTTTTTGAAGCGTCGGTTACATATGTGACAGTGGTAAAGCAGCTGTCTGAGGCCCTGGCGAGTTTTTAACCTGGATTATATAGACAAAAGGAACAGATTACAAAGGCAGGGTCACAGGAAACAGTCAGAGATATCAGCGAAGATCAGAGTTTCCAAATCTGACAGTGACAAAATTAAGTAATTTTCCCCCTTTTCACCCAAATTTAAAAAAAAAAAAATGCATGTGTTGTGACTCGCAAAGATCATTTGCAATTAATTACAAGCCAAATTAGTAAAAAAACAACAAAAAAAAAAAAAACAACACTATATTGCCCACAGTATTCCTTCACCCATCCAAATCATTGAATTCAGCTGTGCCAATCACTTCCATGGCAACAGGCATATAAAATCAAGCTTTTACAAATAAAGATCTATGAAGATCACGTTTGATGTGAAAGCACTTGAATGGAGTCCTGACATCAACCTGATAGAACACCTTTGGGATGAATTAGAGTGGAGACTGCGAGCCAGGCCTTCTGGTCAAAAATTCCCATAAACACTCCTAAACCTTGTGGAAAACATTCAGAGAAGAGTTGAAGCTGTTATACCAGCAAAGGGTGGGCCGACATCATGTTAAACTCTGTGGATTAAGAACGGGATGTCCCTCTAGCAAATACGTTTGCAATATAGTGTATCTACAATGAGCTACATTAACGTATTGTTGCATCAGGAACTCTTCCCTCTGTCTTTGGCTATAAACCCCATTCAACACTTCACGCACCACCTCCCTGGAGGAGCACCTCACAGTTTGAAAACCTCTTCAGCAGGACAAACCTCAGTTGTTGGTAGCTCTGGTAAACAGTGGGATCTTTTAGATTATGTCGTTTCTCCATGTGTTTCAGCAGGTTCTTGACATCAGAGTACTTTTTCTCACAGAAGCCGCAGTGCTGCTTCACCTTCATATGGACACGCTCTATATGGACCTGCATCCACAGAGACACAAATTACAAACCATGCAGCTTCACACTGAAAATATATTCAGTATATCTAACACGGTCAAAAGAGAACTTTAATATCTTGAAGCCTGTGTGTTAATGCTAATAATACTCAGCATGTAACAATATGACTACTGAGAGCAGTATGCCAGCACCTTGAGGTGTCCTGGGCTGAGGCAGGTGAAAGGACAGTGCTGACAGCTGAACTTCTCTCCAGTGTGCTTCCTCAGGTGAACATTCAGGTTTGCTTTAAAGGACAAATCTAGTAAGTAGTGCAACTCTTCCTTTTCCAGTTAATGCTACAACTTCAACTTTGTATTCATTTACGCAGCCATCCTGAAATCTATAGACTAATTTACCTTTGATGGCCGATGCGTAGTCACAGTGCAGACACTGAAACGGTTTTTCTTGGGTGTGTGTCCTCAGGTGAGCAACCAGTGAGTGTCTGAACTTAAAGATTTTGTTACAGAACTCACAGGCAAAAATTTTCAGGTGGCTCTGAGGCAAACTGTAAGACAGCAGGTGACAACATTACATTTCTCATAGCTGATCAGTTTCACTCCTGTTGATATCATGGTGAAACAGGGTGGACCTAACCTCTGTCATATTACATAAGAAGAAGCTTTTAGCTACACTGTAGCCCCAAATCTAAAAACTGTGTAAAATAAAATCCACATACAGTCGTGTCTATACTGCCGTGTGAAAAATTAAGTGCACCCCATGAGCCAGCATTTTGTAGTTACCATTAGCTGCAATAACTTGAAGTAATTTTTGAAGTAGGTTTTCTGTAGGACTTTAACAGTCTCTCACATCACTGTAAAGGAATTCTGCCCTCTTTTTCTTTACAGCGTTACTTTAGTTTATTGAGGTTTTGCGGGCATTCATTTATGCACAGTGCTTTTAAGATCCGGTCAAAGCATTTTAGTCGGGCTGATGATGTCTGGACTTTGACTGGGCCATTACAACACCTTGATTCTTTTTTTTCAGCCATTCTGTTATAGATTTGCTGTTGTGCTTGGGATCATTAATCTGTTGCACATTTTAGCTTTTGGGCAGATGGCCTCTACAATACTCTGGTATACAGAGGAGTCCACTCAATGACTGCAAAGTCATGCAGCTGTAAAGAAGCTCTAATCATCATAGTGCCACCACCATGCTATGAGCTGTGTGTGTGTTGATAATATGTTGCATCTGGTTTTGTCTGTCCTAAGGACTTTATTACAAAAGATGTAACCTAATCCATGCTTCCATTTTTTAAAGTTCTTTCATGAACTTTAATATTATACATGCTAACTGAGGCCTGCAAGGTATTATATGTAGTGGTCTAATACTAGGATAATTTAGTGGGACGCCCACTCCTGCTTAGATTAATAACTGTCTTGTATACTTGTAAATAATCTTTCTCTCTGTAGAATGATGGACAAATTGTTTGGAATTGGCCTTAAAACTATTCTCAGCTGCTCTGGAACAGTCAAGTGAATTTGATTAGCAGCACCTGGATGCTACTTACTTTCTTAATTTCTGTAAAGGCAGTAAGGGTGCGCTTATTTTTTCACATGATGCACATATGAAGAAACAACATTTGAGTGAAAATACAACTACAAATATTAAAATATTCAAAAAGTACTTGGAAGCATCTTGTTTGATAGAACATTCCTGGAAGCCCCTGCTGTTTGTCGTTGTTGTTGTGGTAGGATTAGAACTAGGAATAGAAAACAAAACAAAACATTGACAGGTCACACAGCGACAACCAGAAACTTAAAAATCTTGTAAAAGATTGTTAATGTTCACAAACCAACTATTTCACCTAAAATCAATTACACTGACTTCTAATTACTTACAAGAAATCTTCTGGTTTAATAATTTATTAATTACCTTGGCTCCTGGTCTGTTTGAGGGTTATCTGTGATGGCTTCACTTGCAACATCATGTGACTCATTCTGGACGACTGCAGAGTGCTGAATGTCCAGAAAGATCAATATAATAATGTCACAAAATACTTTTGGACAACAAACACGGTATCTTTTTTAGGACAGAATCACGAGTTCAAATTCAGCTGAACTACTAAAACTTTCTTCACTGCAACAAAAACACTGTTAACAGGTTATAGAGATGTCGGCAGAAAGTAAGTATAATGTAAACACTGTGCACAATCCTGTGTTTCTAAAGGACAGAATGGAATTTTACTTCTGTGTAATTTCGAGTTTTATGAGCAACATAAAATCAAAACACCACGTGGCTAACATGGTTACAAAAGGAAGAGGTCTCAAACCATGTGTAAATTAAACTGTGTAACTTTGTTAGAAGACTTTGTTGTACATAAAAAAAAAACATATTTTAACCCTTTAAAGCCAAATGTAATGTATTTAATACATAAGTTTTTAGGACTCCTAGAAACATAATCAGTGTAATAGTTTTACCCCCAGATAAACAAAATAAATTGCACGTTACATTTTTTAGGAATAAATTACAAAAATAGCTGGATGTGGCAAATATGATACAAATTAAAATTTATATATGCAAATTACTATATTTTATTTTTTTATTTGTCAGAAGGTTCGATAAACACTCCATTTAAGAAACTGATTTGGGCAATTCCATGGTTCAGGCTTTAAGGGGTTAAAATCTGTGTGAACTGACTCTTCGCTGTTCCACAGCATTCCAGCACTTACCTGAGGTTGAGATTGAGGTTTGATAGAACCAGATTCTGCTTCTGCTGAACCTTCCTCTACAGGAACCATTTTAAAAACACCTTTTGAATTAAAAGTGAAGTATTATAGTTATTCATAAAACTGCATTTTTAGCCAGAAAGTAAAAGCAGGCTTAAATACCGCTTTAATGCCAACCTGGAAGTGTTTCATATTCTGTCAGAACAACACTGATAACAGATTTTTTGTTTCCTGTTGCTTGGCCTCCTTCCTTGGAGATGCAACTGTGGTTGGTTTTTAAGGATCTAGAGTTTCCCCCTTCTATAAACAGAGAACAAAAAATAGATCAGATCATTATTCTTCCAATAATGATTAATTTTAAGAAACTACGATCATGATCTTACTGCTTTCTCGATCAAGTCCTGATTGTGTCTGGTTGTGTTTATTCTGGTTTGGATCAACTCCTCCGGGATCCACATTTTCCGTTCCCTCACCTTCTGCTGTACCAGAGATGCTCCCTGAAAATTATTGTGTGTATTAAATTGATAAACTTCAAATGTTAGGTACAGTAACTAGATCTACTTTAACATCTTCAGTGTGTGTCTGTGGAAAGATTTAACAGTCTTCAAGCAACATTTCTAGCATGCTCTCCAACTAACTGTTCTTTGAAATCATCTGCGGCAGGCATTGCCGCAGATGATTTCCTTTCCTGCCGATAAATTATTTCACATTTGTGCCCTTTGATTCCTCACCATTTTCCTCCTCATCTGCATCTTCATCCTCTTCTCTTAGGCAGATGTGTTTAAGGATTTGACGCCTGTTGCTGAATGAGCGATGGCAGTGTCTACATTCCAGGCCTGATATCCCATCATTTTTTTGTACTAAAAAAAAAAACATTATTACAAAAACATATGTACCACAGATTAGTAACAGCAAAGCTACGTTACTAATCAGGAATACAAAACAAGAATCAGCTATCCAAATAATATAATCAGTTAGCAGTCTGCAGACCAGTACTACCAGGTAACAAAAGATTGATTTTATAAGGCAACAATACCACCTTCTGCTGAACTAAATTGTTGAATTTCCTCCTTTTTTCTCTTTTCTTCTCTGGAGTTATTCTCTGGAGAATGGCTGGAAATGGCCGTGCCCTCTGTCAAATCTGTGCGCATCTTCTTCGTAGAGCCCTTTGGTCTTCCTCGTTTTCGCTTCACTGGGGTCTCTGTGGGCCAATAATCCAACAGAACAGTTAAAAAAAAGGCAGCACTGGTTTTTTTCGGGTTTTTTTTTTTTTTCATTTCTTGCAACACATCCACCTAAGAGAACAGCATCAACAAAGACATTATTCTGCAATCATTGTCTGTGTAGCCAAAAGTCAAAACATTTACAGGTGATAGTAATAGTGGTGATGTGGTGGTGCTCTGACCTGCCAGCTTCTCCACAGGATCTGCCACAAGAGGCTGCAGCGCAATAATGATGTCATCTAGAGGCTCCTGCTGAGGGTGCAGCTGGGAGCAATGTGCAAGTAGCTGGGAGCGACTTGGAGAAAAGACGTTGCACAGGCGACACATAAACACAGAACCAGCTGGGGACACAGAGAGAAAAGGTGGCATATCCAGAGCCTTTTGTTAAATAAGTTGATCTCGTCGTGGGTTTTCTTTTCTTGATTTGATATAAACAAGTGAACCGTAGAGGTTTATGTGTTAATTAACTAATATTTGTAGCACAGAGAAGATAAAATTTGCGGCAATATGAGAAATTGTGGGGTGGATATTGGCTAATTTTACCGTGTTATATGCTGCATGTATGTAATCTGCTGGAAAATGTAAAAAGATTAATAACAAACAAGTAATCGGTTTTCTCTCAACTCCCAATCCACCTCAAATGAAACATATTATTACAGGAACAATAGCTTAAAAGCCACTCCCAAACAAACCAGATCGTCTAACCAGACATTGTTAACTTCTATGATAATTATTGCTATAGTAAAGTACACGTGTATAATTTCTCATTTAATGCTGATTTAAGTATGGGAACTACATTGACCGTGGAGTCAGGTGACACTGTGTGTTAACGTAACAGGTTACGGTTTGTAGCTTATTTGTACTTTTCTTTCTGTATAGTGTCCATAGTTTGAGCATAATATTAAAAAACGCCAAATGAAACGGTGCCCTTTTTTTTAACCATGCACGTCTGTTTATTTTGATTTGGCCCGAGTTAACATGAAGACCCGAAAAACATATTCGAGTTGAAGCTAGCCAAATTTCTTACCTGCTTTTTGTCCATCCATTTCCCTCTGCGACCAACGAGCGAAGTAATACTAATTTATATACAGGCCAGAACCTATATGCGAATAAATTTATTCACTAAATCGTGATTTAGAGTCTATTTTTTACTGAATAAAGACACACATTTCTGTCGAATCTGCGGCACAAATCCTTCAGGCCAGCGGAAGTTTGCTGGAGCTGCAGCACTGTAACAGACATCGCCCTCTGTGGCAGGAGGACCGCACTGCAGCGCAAAGCAGCGCGTTTAGGCGTTCGGTGCATACACACCGAACGCGATAGAAGCGACCAAAAAGCGCCCCTGGCTGTTCGCTTGCACATTCGGGCCTCGAAAAGACTAGAGATAAAAAAAACGAACGTGTTACAGATTCTGTGCTATTTATCATATACTTATACAAATATAGTCAGAAATGTGTCATTGTACAAAAACAGTAAATATACTTAGGTTTCCTTGTTTCTTCATTTTCTTCTTTTAAAATATTTGTCAAAGAAAAAAACGTGTTTCACAACATATCCCTAGTAAGCCATCATGTTGTTTACAGGTATGGATATTATATAAAGAGACACTGAACATAATAATATGTAAGAATAGAAGAAGCTCTAAGTGAGAGTTAAGTCAATCATAAAGAGCTCATAGCAATTAAAGGTGGTTGTTTTTACTATTTAGGACTCATTAACGCACTCATAGTCAAAGTAGATCAAAAGTGCAGACTAATTAATAATTTCAGGAATTTAAGGAATATTTGACAAAAATGTTTCTGGTGTTTTGAATTTGTCTGCAATATATTTCGTTTATTAGCAACAGCTAAATTGCCAGGAAGAGCGAATCTTTGAATTATTACATGATGTAATCAAACACTGACAACAAACACCACGCACTACATACAAAGATAATGGCATAACATTTATTAAACAATGCAAAAAATTTACAGACTATCATTTACAGCTTGTTTTTTTGTTTTTTTTTTACATAAAAAAGTGTCAGCTCAGGCCTGCCCCAGTAGTAAACAATGTATAGAGGCCGCCCCATATACCCACACACGCACACAAGCAAACAAATATGCACACACGTCATGTGAACAAGAAAATATTTGCCATTTGCTTTAAAATGCTTTCAGGTAAAGATTGTAAATCAAAGGGTTGCTAGATCCTATTAACATTTTCCCTTCTCCTAACTTCAGTTTTACACCCTCTGCCTATTTCATTGTCCATTTAGTTTTTCATGCATTTTAATGTATGTATATCAATTCAGGTTGAAGATGCTTTTACAATAAAAGAGACTGTCATAAGGACTCTACTTTTTGCATAAAAAGTGCATGCTCTGTTATCATCATCATCAAAAACAGATTTTTAAATGATTTTTTCAAAGTGATTGTTTACATGCATCATTCAGGTAAAATACAACTGAAATAAACTCCACACCAATACATATGAAAATAATAAAACTTTAAACTAGACTGGATAATTTAATAATGCACAGCAACATTTGCGCTAGGATGAGACTAATACTCAGGCTAAGATTACCCTTGGATTAAATCTGATTTGTTGGTGTGTAAAATTTTAGTCTCTCCAAATAGTTAAAAAACATGTTTTTAAGGGTTTTTAAGCCCAAAAAGAAAGAAAAAATAAAAGAAACACAAATTTAACTGTTTACAATTTTATATCCTGATAGTGTTAAACATTCATTAAAGTCGGGTCAGACTTAAGGTGCTGAAAACCAGTCACCAGGGACAACAGAATCAAAGTTTCACCCCACATCTGTATAAGTTTCAGGACTTGTTCGGTTGAACATTTGAATGTGGCTCATGCACCTCATAGCTAAATTCCCTGCAGAATTATATTGTAAAAACAATCCTCTATAACACTTTTTAAAATGATTTCCTGTCCTTTATCCATCCTGCAGCTGTTTGTTTACAGCAAAAAAGCAAAAATAAAAAAAAACATATTAAAGGAAAAGAAAGGGAAACAAAGAAGAAAAACTTTTTAAGATTCAACATGGGCACTGACGCCTCTGTTTTTAGTATTTGTGACAATGACTGAAGCCTTGTACTGCTGAATTCCTGAGAAATGTCTCTGTGTGTGTGCCTGCGTGTGTGTGTGTGCATGTGTTCATACGATGCAGCATTTGTTCTTGTGTTTGCGGGAGTCTTTGAAACGGAGCCTATGCTTAGATCGATATTTCTCCAGGTAGGTTAGCTGTTTGCTGTTGATGGCTCCACGACGCTTCCTGAAACACAAACACAATGCTGTGAACTTTTAAAAGCTTTTAGAGGTTCATTAAATACAGGAAGCTCACAGACACCTTTTATCTTCCACTGCACGCTGTACTTTCAAGTATAATAGTCTTTTTCTGTCACCTTTTTGTGTTGCATTTCTCATTGTGTTCCTCTCTAGGTTATGATAGAAAAAGTGTACTTAATCCTACCAGTTCTTGTTTTCTATAGCTACTTTCAATCAGCATAGGCTCCCGTGTTAAAATGCCCAACTTATAGCGGGTGGCTGTAGCTCAGGTGGTAGAGCAGGTCATCTACTGATCAGAAGGTTGGTGGTTCGATTCCCGGCTTCCCCTAGTCTGCATGCCAAATATCCTTGGGCAAGATACTAACCTGAAATTGCTCTCCGATGCATTAATCGGAGTATGAATGTGTGTGAATGTCAGTGCTTGTGCGAATGGGTGTGAATGGGTGAATGCACAAGTTGTGTAAAGCGCTTTGAGTGCTCAGAAGAGTGGAAAAGCGCTATATAAGAACTAGTCCATTTACCATCCATTACCATAGCAATAAAAGCATTTTTACAGCACGGAACAGAAAATGTTTTGCCTTCGATGGACAATTTCAGCCCTCAAAACAGTTAACCCTCCCATGATGCAGTAAAACAAATCACAGAGCAAAATCATTTTCACATATTAGTTCTCAAACCAGGAGTTAAAAAATGATAAAGTCCACCATCAAAGCAGACCTCCTAAGTTTGGTATGTAGTAATTTACTGTAGTGGAATGTTTACTTTGGTGTTTGGGGGGGTCTTTGTCAAAAACAAAAGCTGTAAAACTTCTGAAAATAGAGTAAAAAGATTCCAGAATTGACGCCCTTTTTCACATTTTTTTTAAATCCATGTAGTGGGCCTGATGCACTACTTGCGATTCTGGTCCCATCCTCATGTTTGACACCCCTGATATAGAGTATATAAGACCACTCTGGTTTCTGAAATAGTTTCATTAAGTGAAAAAAAGGAAAGAAAAACTATCCTCAATATGACACAGGATATACTTACTGTCTGATGAGTTGAATAGCATCCTCATATTTCATTCCGCTTTCTATCAGAGCCAAAGCAACAAGCACAGGAGCCCTGTGTGCACGTATAAATACAACACAATCCATGTTTTAGGCTATACATGTCCAATCAATTCTGCTTATCTGTTTCTTGGCAAATATTTAAGTCATAGTTTTTAGTATAAGCACTCCAAATCAAACATATGAGTTATTGTCCAGTGATGCTAACTTATATGTGTGCACACACACCTGTCTTCCTCTGTATTTTTAAATTAAATTTTTACTTTAAATGTCTCCTACCTCCCTAATCCAGCCACACAGTGAACAGCCACACAGCTTCCTGGATCCTCCTGAAATGTCTTCTTTAGCAGATTCAACCAATCATCGACCAGCTTACTGGGTGGCGGGGCTCCATCATCAAATGGCCAGTCCTAAAAGAGAGGCCAAACAGGTGCTGTCTGGTGTACTGTATTTGATCATAGAATGAGTAAATATTCATATTAAAGGTGTGTGTTTCTGAACTTACCACCACTGTAATGCCATCTTTCTCAAGCCGTGTTTTGTCATAAGTGACATCACAAACTCGGACCACTGTTGTGGCACCATATCGCTTCAAGTCCTGGAAGTGGTAAAGTGAGGAAAAAACTTTTTTTGAAGTCACATTACACAAGCAGACATCACAGAGGGAAACAAGCATGCAGGTAATATCCTAATTTTATTACGCTTGTCATTATAATATTGTCTACCCTTGCAGGACACACATACTCACATATATTTCTCACCTCTATGAAGGAGCTGAGTGTGCCATCTGTTGGGTTGTGTGTAATAAGAAATCTCATGTTCTTGTGGCACAGTTCGACTGGAGCTGGGCGATTCATGTTGACCAGTGTGAAGAATTCTTGCGTGTGTAACCCCTGTAAAAACCAGAAGTCATCTTTTTCACATTTTGTTTTTGTAGAATATGGATAAAAAAATGCCAAGAAATGACTGGTTATGTAATGTTATGTGTTATGTGCTTTTTCTTGCTAGTAAAAGCAAGAAAAAACACCAGTAATAGTATGATAAGATGTAAATATTAATGGCTGAACTGTAATAAAGACTTTCAAAAATACTAAAGCTCAACTTTGGGTTTCACTGGGGTTTCCCACAAGGTAATCCAGAAAGAATAGGACCCTATGCAGCTTTAGTCCATGTTGTAGGTCTATCATAATGTGATCAGTAGAATGTATTATTAATGCAGACCTGGGCCCTTTGGTTTCCCTGATCCACCCCATGTGGTCAATGGGAAATTAGAATTAAGATATAAATAGGTATACGTCATTCATTTTCTCCCATTTAAAAAAAATTATTTTATTGGAAATCACATTACAGTTTTGTTGCTTCTATTTGAAAGGTGATTGCTACATTTTTTGTTTGTTTCTTTATTTACATTTGTACATATGTGCATGTATGTGAATGAAACTTCACAGAGCAAACATTTATGAGATGTGTGTTTGAGGGGAAAAAAGAAAAAAGTATTTATTTACTAAAATCAGAGATAAAGTTGTGTTCTTAGTTTGTGGTTAGCAGATTGCTGGCTTTAAGGATAACAATTTAAATTGTCATTATGAGCCTAAACATGCAGAAAAACACAGGAAATTGACTGATGCAGAATGAAGACAGACACTAGATGCTTTGCTAGTAAAGGTGCAAAAGCAACCAAGCTTTACACATCCAGGGATGGAGCAGTCAAGACCAGCTTTGTGATTTCTCGCAGAGGGACTACGATAGAGAATGATTTATTCACACAGGTAACTGTATGTCTGGATAGGCCGGGGCTTAAATGACACAAATTGGCAGTGTAAACTCAGCGCTGAAAATTAACCACATTGTTGATGTAGCTAAAATAGCTAACTTCATTAGGGCAAGAGGACTGAATCAAAGACAGTTTGTTGTACTTCTGCAGGAGCATGAAACTGAATATGGTGACATAGGCTACCACACAGCTGCTGGGTAGCTCAGCCTGGGTAAAGTGCTGAAGAGTACTGCATGGGACCTGAGAGAAAAATTAAGAGCTTTGTGAGAAGAAAGGCAAAGATATTCCAGAGCTCTCGGATGCATTTGCGGTTAATGGGTCTCTCCTTTGCATTTCCACCCCAGATGCTGAACCTCATTTTAATGCACTTGGTCAAGCTCAAAAC